TCCTTCTACAGCGGCCTGCAGGATGTCAAGGAGCTGGAGCTGGGGCTGAACACGCGGGGGTGACCCAGCTGCTGGACTTCCTGGCGCACTCCTTCAACGGCGGCACCGAGCTCGACGAGCCCCTGCGCCGATGCATGGCCCGCGTCACGCTCGAAGAGTGGAAGCTGGTGGGCGGGTGGGCGGAGGAGAACCGGGAATGGTGGGGCTTCCCCGGATGGCACTGCGCCTCTGCCAGCCTCCTAGCAAAAGAAATCTACGCTTTCCTCCCAGGCCGATATTCTCATTGTGACGGACGGCCAGCTGGCGGCGCCTGCGCCCCTGATCTGTGAGCAGCTGGCGCATGCCAGGGAGCACCTGGGCCTGCGCACGCATGGATTGGTGATCGGAGATCGAGTGTCAGAGGCCATGACGGCGTTCTGCAGCCAGACCCACCTGTTCAGGGGCGGGGTGCTCACCTCCTCGCCCATGCGATGACTGGCTGCAAAGCTCAGGCTCAGTGCTGTTTCAGTGAGGTGTGGAATTACAAGACGATTCTCAACCAGGAAAGGGGGCTTGCAGAGTGTCTCAGCAAGACAAGGATTTATTTGTTGGAAGATCAATCAGATATGCACTGAGCTAGCAAGCTGCAGGGGTCCTTGAGTATCGTGAGGGATGAACAGGGGGCTAGGTAGTGAACGATGAGATGGGGGATGGAATATCTGAAATCAAATGGTCACGCAAATGCATAGGAAGGGGTCATGGAAATGGGTATCACATTGGATGGTGCAAGCGATGCCTGTGGAAACGATATGGGCCTGAAGCTTCATGTGCATTCGCTACAGTCAGGGGTCTACGTGGAGGCACGCATGGGACCCATGCAGAAGAGGGAGCGCCAGCTCGCCCGCTTTGCTGCGGCTGGCTTGCGCTGCGGGTGCGGGGCTGGAACAGCCTTCTCCGCAGCCTGGCGCAAGAAGCTGAACTTCTGCGCATGAGGGAGGAGCAGGACGTTTGGACAGGTATGTAGGTGGCTGGGTCAGCACGGCACAGAGACTGGATTGCCTGATGCAGCACTGCTCAAGTGAGGTACCCACGCAACCCCATAGGGCAATACCTTGAGGTTGAAGGGATCCTTGGTCGGGCCAGCCTTGATGGAGAAGGAGCCGTTCTTGTCAACCTCCACGACTCCGCGCACCTCTGCTAGGGCCTGGGAAGCTGCCTGGGCCTCAGCCAGCTGTGCGCGCAGCACCGCTGTCTCCGCAACAGCGTGCGCCAGAGTGCGCGCCTCCCTGGCAATGACCTCGGCCTTGAACCTCACAAATTTGGCATCCGTCTGCACGAGAGGAGGGGCAGGCACCTTCAGGTTTGGGCTTGGGAGCGCGCCGACAAGTTGAGCACACGGAAGGGCATACACCAAGACCCTGCAGGCTGGCCCGCCCAACAGCCCCGATTCTGCCCACCTCGGCCTGGCGGTGGGCGGCCCGCCGGAGCATGGCATTCAGGAAGGCCCTTTCCTCAGCGAGTGCCTCGGCGTGCTCCGTGTAGCTGGGGAAGAGTGGGGGGTGAGGGCGACCAGAGGTCACCCAGCCCTGCTAGGGGGTGAACATCGTGTGAGCATGGGATGAGGCCTGCTGAGGTGAATTCCTGCTCATAAAAGTCTCAGCTGCACCTTGGCAACCGATCTCAAAGACTCGACTCCTGCATACTTTGGGAGGGAGCAGGCCTTCTTCAATAGGGCAGCATTGGTGTCCATGGAGGCGTTGGCTTCGGCCAGATCGCTGCGCAGCACAGGCTCAGCGTCGGAATCAGCAATTTGAGGGTCGATCTTGGTGTGGACCTCAGTCTCGCCGGTGATCTGGGAGTCACCTTCTCCGTGGGCCAGTGGGGCTCGTGCGTTAGTTGGACCGTCGGTGGACGCCTTCATCGCGGGAATGACAGCGATGGTCACAGTGTTGGCCTCCATTAAGCTGGTCTCCAGGAGCTCACACCGCGCTTCGATGCTGGTGTATTCCTAGTTCAGACGCTCAACGGCGGACTGCATATCGGGTGAAAGGATTCGCAAGTGGTGGTCGGGGCAGAAATGACGGAAATGGTCGACGCAACATAACCGGTCATAAAAACCTGGGATACAACTTGTGAGAGAAGACCTGGTCTTTGGTACGTTTTACTCCCGTATTTCTCGTGTGTCTGTGCAGACCCAATCGGGAGTCCCCACCGGGCTGATATGGGCCTCAAGGATCGGTTCGAATGTGGTGGCCAACCCGGAAGTGGTACCACGGCTCCGGAAGGTTAGTTGCTTAGCAAGCCAGTGCGATCTACAAACTACCTTCCTACATTTCATCACCATAAATTATCCTATCAAGACCTTCCCCGTCTCGCGATTAATAGTTGGAAGGCCGCGACTCTGCGCCCGACAGCCGTGTGTACGAAGCACTCTCCGACAGTTGGCCCTGCCTTCGAGAAGTCCATCGGTGGGAACATGGCTTCAAAGGTTGCTGTCAAGACCACACGCCACATAAGCCGTGAAGCTGCTCAGGTGAGGACTGCTGCGTTGCCCTGGTGCCAAAGCCCGCGATTCTGTTGAGAGGGATCTCTGCTCAGAACCTCACCCGAGACGCACAGGAGCCCGAGCCCACCGCCACCATCATGGCGTACTCGGAGGCGGAAGCAACCCCAGTACCTGTCGTGATGCTGTCGAAGACCGGTGCCGAGAAGGAGGCCATGGTCGTTGATCCTCCCGCAGCCGCCGAGATGGCCATCCCGGTTACCAAGGGCGTCGGCAAGACTCCCAGCAAGGCCAAGGTATTGTAGGAATCCACGCGCCTTTGAACCTCGGAAATCGTGCTATCAGGTGTACTTGAGCACCACTGTGCCCTAGGGACGTCTACCATTTGGCCTCATCCGCCCCTCACCATCTCCATCCTCCTGAAGTCCTCCCTCTCGAGGAGGAAGAGGGCTGCCACATCTTCTGCCGCTCGCTCCCCCAAGAAGAAAGAGGTCAAGAAGGTGGCCAGCTGGAGGTTCACATCTCGTATCAAGAAGGTAAAGGCGTCATGTGTCGGTGCTTGTCCTGGAGGACAGTGCTGCCGGGGTGTGTCGTGTGCACCAACCGAGTCGAAGAGCATCTCTCCCTCGCCCACAATGCACCCCGGGCTTTGTCCACAGGCTTTTGCTGGGCTGAACAAGGCCTTCAGGGGCTCCCACCGGACCTCCCCTGTAAAGAAGCCTCGCGATCTGAAGACCCGCTCCTTCTCCCTTGCCTCCGTGACCTCCCACCTGAGCACTTCAATCGGTGGTCTGATCCACTTCAGGTCCAAGGCTATCTGAAGGTGCCTTTGTCAGATACTCTTGTGACAAGCTCTGATTTTTACCCCTCGCCCAGGCAAGTGCATATCCCTCCACCTCCCTGGTCATGGCACAAAGGGAGTTTTGCATCACACTCCCCACCATCAACCTTCACCACTCGACACCTCTCTCCTGGCATGATGACAACGTGAAGGGACAGCTCGTGCTGTCTCGAAAATGCCTCCTCCAATGTACCCCAACTTGACCGCTGAAATGCCCAGTGCAGGCACGTGATTCCCTTCAGCAATGTACGACCACCATAACCTTGAACATACAACCAACCACATGTTGCTGTGAAACTTCCTTCCCTTGCACAAGGAAATAGTAAGCCCCACATGCCCATCCCCTGTCCCCTGCTGCTGCTGGATGCCAGCTACGAAACAACCAGTGCATGTCTGTGAGTGACAATTCCATCCAAGAGCACCCCTGACATGCTTCCTGATCCAGTATGCCCTCAGGAATATCCATTCGAAATGAGGAAGGTCGATGTTGGCCTTGGAACGGGTACTGCACGTAGGGGCACCTCAACTCAAGACGAGAATCACTTATCATCTGTGTAGCACCCCTGCCTGCAACAGTTTGTTATTGCCTTTCCATCCTCGTCTCCATTGTAACCAACAGTGGCATCCCGACGAGCGCCTGCCACGGTATCCAAACGCTACCTCGCGCGCGCGCGCTGAGCTGTGAGGTTTCGTATGTGCAAAATGGGTCGTGAGAATGCGATCAAAGCCTACACTGTCACATTAAACAGGAACATTGAGTAGCTCAAACATTACATGTATGTAGAAGAGGAGCTCGAGCCGCTCACGAGTATTTGCGGCAGGATGCACACCTAGTACACCCCACCCTCCATCTGCCGGCATGGATGATGCTCTGCTGCGAGAGGAGTACTTGTAAGTTCTTTGTGATTGAGGCATCGCAGTTAATTGTTCTTGGATTACCCTCCTGCATCGCGTCATGCTGCCTGTGCCCCTCATCCCTGCACAGGCACCTGGTCTTCAGCCTGTATCCCAAATGGAAGGGCGAGGCAGAGCAGCGCTGTGATCTGCAGTGTTTCTGGCCCAGGATACAGAAAGGTGATGCGCTTGGCATTGGTGATAGGCCCTGTCGGAGTTAGACTCAGCTCAAGTGCAGAGGATGGCTGCGTGCAACAATCGTGTGCATGCACTGCGACTTGCACCATCAGTCTCAGCCTCGCCCTGCACCGCCCTCAGCAGATGCTGGAGCCATGGTGCCCTCCCTGATGTCCAACCTGCGCAAGCTTCAGGCTGGTGGCAAGGTGCGGGGGCTTTGTGCAGCAGCTGCACGCTTGGTTGAGCATGCTGCTGGTGCACTGCTCAGATCTGCAGCGCTATCACAAGCACCCCCACCCCCTCTGCAAGATGCAGGTCGACATGGACAGCGGAATCGACCTTGATTCAGAGCCTCACTGGCTCATGTGGCTGGAGCACCTCAATGCCCTGGAGGCTGCGGTGGGAGGGTGGGTGGGGGAGGAGGTGCATGGCCCGGGCTTGCCCTCGCCAATGATGCCCCTGCCTTCCAACTTGCAAGCGGCACCCGCTTGCCGCCTCTAGGGTTGATTGCAGCTGGAGATGCGCTGTCCAGCCCGCTCACTGCCCCTTGATCTGCAGGCCAGGCTCCACACATCAGCGGCCAGGCTTGCCAAGCGGGCGAGGATGAGTGGGGGACCACCTCCTGCAGCGTCCAGCACCCCCAAGCAAGAGGCTGATGTTGCGGCTGGCGGCAGCGAATCCAGCGCCGACGAGGCTGACTCCTCTTCCTCCCAGTCCAGCGACTCGCCCGCCCCGCCGGCCACACAGGAGGAGCAGGAGGCGGTGTGCAGGGTCATTGCCCGCAGCCGGCTGGCACAGGTGTGTAGCGCATGACGGCAGACGTTGACCCTGCTTGGTGCAGGCCTGGGGCTGTAGTATGTGGGTGTTCAAACAGGGATCCAAGGGCACTTTCGCTGAGCAGCGCTCCTATTCTCATACCCACACAGGCACACGACCGCTTGGAGTCTGTTTGCTTGCGTCTGACAGAGGAACTGGTGGCTGGCTCTAGGCTCCAACAGCCACGCGAGGTCCTGCAGCAGGAGCCCATGCTCGAGCAGCCCGCCAGCCCTCGCCATGGCGCCAGCATGCAGGCGGGGAGCACCGGTTGCGGCGCCAGCGTGCAGGCAGGGAGCTCCAGCCGCGGTGCCAGCGTGCAGACAGGAAGCCCAGGCCTCAGCGTCTGCAAAGTAGAGCCCGGGAGCCCGCCCTCCATATTCGAGGATCGCCAGGCCAGCCCCCTGCAGGACAGCCTGCAGGGTGCCAGCCAGACGTCGCTCCTGGCAGTTGCCTGCCGCTTTGGGGCTGGGCCAGAGGGATCGATCGACATGCACGCCTTCCTAGACATCCTCCGACGGCCAGGTGATGCCTGGGCCCTGGAGTCGCCGGGGTTATGGACCTCGGCGACCTACCGGCAGAATGGATTATGTAGCCGTGTGTGTTCCTTGAGCAGGGAGTGAGATGGATGGGGTTTGGACTGGTAAGGTTTTGTATGGGTGAGGGGCGGCAAAGGCTTCTGCATGCAGCGTCTGTTTGTGCATCCACGATTTTGGGCCCCACCCCACCCCCCTGCACTGCACAGGCATGTGGAGGGGCACTGCCCCACCCCCCCGCCCCTTCCTGCTGATGCTCTGGGCACTGCGCAGCCACGGGTGGACGGCCCGGGCCCTCGCGCGCTTGCTGGCTCTGCTCCAGTCCCCAGGTGTGGCGGAGTCGGCAGTGGTCGGTCGATGGATGTGCTCCACCTTCCAGCGGCCCAGAGATCTTGGTGTTACTGATGCGTGTGGAGAGATCCGCTGCACGGGTGCTCCCCTCACTCCTCCGGCCCACACATTTGAGTCCTCGCGTCCCACCTGCATCCCCCGCAGGGCGCCTGAGTGGGGCAATGTGCTGCGAGCCCCTCGCCAGCGAGGCGGAGCGAGCGGCGCTGCTCGATGCGGCCATGCATGGGGCGTGGTCGGAGCTCCCCCGCGGGCCAGGCTCGGTGGCTCAGGCCTCGGAGACGGAGACGGAGGGCGAGGCGTCTCTGACCCCAGACATTCTCCAGTCTCCCGGCGAGGCCATGGATGTCGACCCGCCCCAGACCCAGACGGCAGAGAGCGGTGGGGAACCGATGTATGTGCAGCGTGAGGCCGAGCCTGAGTGCGGCCCGGGCACGTTTGCCAGCCAAGCAGCGAGTGCTGAGGCAGAGGCAGCCGCCGTCGCTGCCGACGAGGCACCTGCAGTCTCGGCAACCGATGCTGAGAGGGATGCGTGTCTCTTGAGTGCGTCCCGGGCCCTGCTGCAGACCGCATGGGCTGTTTTGGGTGAGCGAATCTGGCGCTGTGGGCTCCAAGATGAAGCGCTTGACGAGCAGGCAGGGCACAAGGCCAGGCTCCGCTCCGATGCGACTTGCAGGTGAAGGATTTTAAATTGCTGGGACACCCATTACCGTCCTGAATCCGCTCATTCTCCTCACAAACAAGCAGACAAGGTGCTGGAGGGCGCGGCTCGCGATGAGCCCCTGCGGCGGACGTTCAGGCACTTCCTGCAACCACCCAGGTATGGAGTTGAGAATCTTTGGACTGGTGTGTGTGGAATCACAGATAGAGCACACATAAAGCAAGTGCCTCAGCGGATTGCCAATTGACGGGCCCCTCCCACCCTTCGTTGCCAGGCCGGCCTGGGGAGGTCTGCCCCCCCTGCCGCCCCCCTTCACGGCCTTCGACCATACAGAGGAGCGGGGAGGGGAGGTGCGTGCCGCCGTCGACCCCGCCCGCGCCCACCCTCTGGCGGAGCTGGCGGGCTGGAGGGACGAGGCCCTGACCGTGCAGTGGCGCTGGCAGTACCAGCGGTACAAGGACCTGCTGAGGAAGCGCGCACGCACGGCCCACGAGCCGCGGCTCAGGGTCGTGGCCCACCTGCTGCACGACTCAGCGCGGGCGAGCATGCGGCGCGCGCTGGCGGCGATGCCCCGCCTGCCCGGCACACCCCCCGCCGACCTCCTGCTCCTGGCCGACGCTGTGACCACCTTCAAGGCCCCCACCAGAGCCACCTGGCTGCGGCGCTACGCGGTGCGGGCTGCGGCGGCCATCCAACGGGCGGGGGGGGAGGCGGCGGCCGGCGAGGAGGAGAGGCTGACGTGGCGGCTGGCTCAGCTGCCACCCGACGTCGCCGCCGTCTTTGAGGCGGGGCGCGCGGCGGGGCTGAGATTGGCGGTGCTGCAGAGGGCGCTGGCGCGGTACCAGGCCGCCCATCCCCCTGGCTAATTTGGGCTGGAGGGACGAGGGTGACAAATAGGCCCTGCCTGCTTCTGTTTACAGCCGGACTTTCACTTTGGCACACTATGATACAGTGTCTGTCGATGCATTACAATTGGACCCAGGAGTCATTCGCAGTATTCTTTGCCAGTGGAGGGTAGAGTCACGTACAAGAGGACGGGGCTTGGTGAGGGGAAGGTGATTGCCGCCTTGGCAGGATTATGAGAGCTGTTATTTATACTGCTTCAGCAATGAGTCGGTCTGGGAAGGGATAATGCCCTGCTGAAAGGGATGGCAGCACCTAAGAGTCCACGAGCCTCAAGCGGCGGCCAGGGCGGGTGCCGTGCAGCAGGGCTCGCACGGCTCCGCCTCCGCCGCCCCCCGCGCCGGCCCCCGCTCCTCACCGCCCTCAAAGAGCCATGGCAGCGCAGCGGGCATGTCGTGTATGGACGCCAGCTGCACGTCCGCCCCCGCGCCCTCCACCCCGATCCGCCCCACCAGCACGGTGAACATGCCCAGCCGCTTCCCCGCCGCCACGTTGCGCGTGCTGTCGTCGAACCAGCCGGTGCGCGCGGGGTGAAGGCCTGTGGCCTCCAGCGCCAGCAGGTAGGCCTGGTGCTCGGGCTTGCAGACCACGGGGCGGCCGTGTCGCGCCCAGCCTCGCGCCGCGGCGGCCGCCTGCACGTCCTCAAACGCGACCACGCCCTGGAAGCAGTCGGCGACGCCCAGCAGGTCCAGGCAGATGCGGGCATGCTTGCGGTCGGCGTTGGTGAAAATGTACCTGGGGGAGAGGTTTCTCATTGGGGGGGAGGGGGTTAAGAGGGCATCAGGTGGAGAGAGAAACGCATGCTGATTTGAGAGAGATTTAGAGGATGATTTACTGAGTTCCACCTCCAGGTTTGCCAGCAGGTGTGCCTCGGAGTTTGTGTAATGCGAGCACCAGCTATCAGATAATGCCCAAGACAACGCCGTCCAGGCATTCCTGGGGACACAAGTGTGACGAATCGTCACACTCTCCCACAGGCGATGCTCAGCAAAGATCAACATCCTGCCCTTCCGACCATCTCACTTCGGAAGGGGAATGCGCTGCAGCATGGAGCGCAGCTTCGCGTCCCACCGCAGGTACTGCTCGTATTGGAGGCTGTGGTGGACCTCCGCATGCCAGTGGTCTGCATCTATTTTGTAGCCCTGTGCCTGAGCAAGAAAGCGGGGGAGTGACCCTTGAGCTGAGTGAGAAAGCGCCAGGTGAATCTGCTTGTTACAGATGTTGCCCCCTGCTGCGCACCCAATTACAGCCCAACCCATGCTCACCACAAGTCCAGCCATGGTGGTGCCATACTGCATATAGCACCTTCAGGAGGTGGAGGGTGAACTCCTGTGATTGCACTGCTAGGTAGACCCAATGCGTTGACCAAATGCTCTTGCACCAACTCGGCAACCCACACCCCACCTAACATCAGCATGTACCCAGCCCACGCACTTGAAGCAGAGATCGTACACTTCTTCCTGAGGTACACCCAGGTACTTGACCATGTAGGCCTGGATGTTGGCCGCGACCTGGGCCTTCATGGCAGGAACATCGTAGAGGGTGTCGTCCAAATCAAGGAGCAGCGCGTCTACTGGCGGTGGGGCAGGGTTGACCGTCATGATTCCCAGTATATATTTATTGTTGAATGTATCAGAATATGTTGTGAGCGCACGAAGCGATGCGATGCTTGGAAGCTATGAGACGAGTCGGTCGTGCCCTGACAAAGTTGAACGATAAGAGTCCAATTCCTCAAGGGCACTGGGCATCGAGTGGAATTTCCTTCGGCAAAATTTGTACTGTGATGACTTCATTGACGAGAAGCCAGTACGCTTCCCACAAATTCTGCCACCCTGAGTACCACGTGGAGGGGGAGCCCTCGGAAAAAAAGATAAGGATCTGAGTGAGGGGCGACACGCCGTGCCTGAATGGTGTGGACCACATGGGCATGACACCCTCGTCGTCGTACCTTTGAATCGCAAAGCACATGCACTAGATTAGTCCAGAGGCCTCGACAGCATGCAATCGGTGTGCGATTGCAGGTGCCAAGTGCGAGCACCGGCCCAAGGTCGTGAACAGGCATGCACGCCGGTGTCGCGCCACGCAGGCGGCGCCGCGACACACATCCGACCGATCGGTCGTAGTCCAGGGCTTGCATCGTTCCTCACAGGGGCTGTAGCGGCGGGCATCCTTGCCGTGGCACCCCCCAGCCAGGCCGTCGCGCCATTCCTCCAGTCGCAAGGTACTTCATACCTGGGTGCATGCTGCATGCTTGGAATAACAAGGGGGTACGTCCATCGGCGGTGATGCATAGGTAAATGATCTGTTCCGAGGGTGGCTGGGAATCCAGCACCCCTCTCCCTGGCATGAGCATGGGATTTCCTGCAATGGCACGCAACCTCCCCCCTACCCCTTAGGCAAGGCTCTCACTCTTTTCTGCGCGGGTGCCCTGCACCCCCCGCGGCACCCTCCCCACACGTGCGGTCAGTTCCCCCCATTCTCACTCCCTCTCTCCTCTTGCTGCGCAGGCGGGCAGGGCCCGCTGGTGGAGGAGGAGGCCCGCCTCTTCCGCATGCGCGAGCAGTATGAGGGCGAGGCGGCGGAGAGCCTGGCCAAGGCGCGCAGCGCACTGGAGGAGGAGACGCGCACGCAGCAGCGCTCCTCCTCCCTCCTCTGCGCCACGCCCTTTGGCGTGGACGTGGTGGGCATCACCGAGGCGGTGGCCATCACAGGCGCGCTGGTGGGCGGCGTCTCCGCGCGGCGGCGTAAGCTGGAGCTCGAGAAGCTGAACGAGCGCCTGCGCACCATCAACCAACAGCTGCGGCAGCAGGCGCGAGCGGGGGTAATGTATGCGCCGGGGCTCACCTATGCCCCCCCCGCCGGCGGCCGGACCGACAACGGGGCGGGGGCTGCGCAGGGGGCCGTGGCGCTGCCCGGCGCGAGCAACTTGACCCTGGTGCCCCCCATGCCCGTGCCCATGCCGGGCACGGCGGAGGGGGCGGACCCGCCGGGTGACTGGGGCGGGGTGTCGGGCGGCGGGGGAAGCCCCGCCCTGGGTGGCATGGGCCTCTCCGTCCTGTCCATGGACGACGAGGAGGGGCCCAGCCCCGAGTCGGTGCACTGCCAGCAGGTAGAATTGTTGTTGTTGTTAGTTTCTGGGAGGGGAACATGCAAATGTATCTGCATCCTGCATTGCAAGGCCAGGCCGGGGAGCTCTGTGTGGGTGATGTGGACATGGTGCAGACGACAGCCTGTACGACGAACCTGTTGCCCCTCCTTGGTCGAGCCGCATTGCGGTCTTGAATGCAGCGCCACGCGTATTAGGTCAACAAGTAGATGGGCCCCCTGCCTCACACACATCACTTCCCATCGAACCTTACTCCCCCCCCCCCCCTAACTATGGCAACTCCCCCCCTTCCCGAGCAGGCACTGAAGGAGGGCAAGCGCCTGCTCAAAAACGGGTCGGCCGGCGCTGCCATGGTGCGCTTCGAGAAGGCGCACATGCTGGCGCGCAGCCTGGGCGACCGCGTGAAGGAGCGGCGCGCGGTGCGTGGCCTGGCGGCGGCCTCGCGCCTGGCGGGCCAGCCGCGGCAAGCCGTCAAGCACCTCCTGCGGGTGCTGGAGATCTCGCGCGACATGGGCGACTTTGTGGGCGACGCCGACGCCTACGGCACCATCGCCGACATCTACACCGACATTGGCGAGTTCGAGCACGCGGCCGAGTACTACGACAAGTACATCGCGCGCATGGATAACACCGGCAGCCCTGTGTGATGCCTGGTGGCACTCCTCGCGCACTGTTCTGACAGGCAGCTGTCGGCATGTACCTTTGTATTCCAGGGCGAGGCCCCACTTTTCTAGCACGCACCCTCCATCGCATGGAATTCGAGCGAGCAGGCGGGAGGAAGTGGGAATCGGAAGGGTGTTGGAGCAACCCATGCATGTCCCTGGGAATGCAAGCAAGGCATTGCTGCTGCACGGTGGCGGACAAGTGCGAAACCAGGGTCCTGCTGTTAAGCAGTCCCAAACACCCCGACCCCTGCGTCTCCCTTCCCAACCCACTTCCATGCTCTGTCATTTTTCTCTCCACAAAGGGTTACACAGCGTGTGACTTGCTTTTCAGGGCAAGCGCCCCAGCCCAGTGACGGAGGCTGGGACTCCCAACGTGGCCCGTTGGCGCGCTTGGAGGGGCGCGCGGGGCGGCAGGGGCACAGGAGGGATGGACTTCCGTCCCTCCTCTGGAATCCCCGTCGCCCCGCGCAGCCCCGGCACCAGCCGGCCCTTGGTGTAGGTTGCCTGGCCCGGCGCCGATTCGATCAGTACAGGCGCACGGGCTTGCCCATGGTGGACTTGATGTACAGCGTCTTGACGTTCTGCCAGTTCTTCTTGAGCAGGGACACCAGGAAATTGATGGACATCTGGATGTTGATGTACAGCTCGCGGTCGGTCTGGTTGATGTTGCCCACGGCAACGCCCAGGCACAGCACCTTCTTCAGCTGGTACTTGACGGAGGACTTGAGCTCCGTCACCTTGGTCTCCAGGTTGTCGTTGTGGGTGATGAGGGTGGGGAACTTGCCCGCCTTGTTCAGGCCGGGACCGAGCAGGCGCGGGATCTGCTTGATCAGCGAGTCGGAGGCCAGGAAGGCGGCGTACTTCTTCGCCAGCTTCTTCACCAGCTTCTTGTTCTTGTTCAGCTTCTTCAGGTCGTCCACGGTCATGGCGTCCACGCCCAGGGCGGCGGCCTCCTCGCAATGCTTGTGGTCACCCAGCACGCACACCTTCAGGGAGGGGCGGGGGCAGTAGGGCAGCTTCACGGACCCGCTGAAACGCTTGTCCTTCTGGGGATCGTAGTTCTTCAGCCCGATCTGGAGCTCCACGGTCTCCGTGAACTTGCGGGGCTTGTCCTTGGCGCCCTGGAGCACGGCTGTGAAGGCGGGGCGAGGGAGGGGGGGGAGGGAGGTCGAGTCAACCGCGGTGAGGGCCTAAGGTGGACGCGTTTACATGGCCCATCAGAACGTCGATCGTATCCACCACGATAACTGGGCGGCATCCGTCACTCCGCCACCTCTGCCCGGCTGCGCACCATTGATACCCTCGCGGAGGGCCTCGCCGGAAACTTTCGACATGATGTCACTAACACTGCTGGTAACCCAAGGGTGAGAGGAGAGAGGGAGGAACAGGTTGCAGGCCAGACTGTATGGGCCATCCGCCGCTCGTGGGGGACACGGGGGTGGAAAGCGAGGTGCCCATTTCCCGCCATCTGGACAGCAAGGCTCGTCAGGGCGCGATGCCAGGTATAAGACCATCCCCTGGCCTGGCAGCATCCAGTGCTGCGGGACAGATGACGGAAACTTGCACCCCAGGACAGCGCCTGGGTCTTGTGGTGAGCCGTGGTGGGCTCGTGCTGTGGTAATCGTACTCGGGAGCAGCGCTGCCCATGCTCGAGTCCCACACTCTGTCACAAGCTCCCCGCCTCCCGCACCGCAGACCGAGTTCGAGCCAGGCGCGGGAACCTACGTCGCAGGAAGCTTTGTGTGCGCGTCCCTGGTCGGCATCCAGCGCACCGTGCCCGTCGAGGAGACAGCTGACAAGGTGCTGAGGGTGCTGGTTGAGTGAGGGACACCGATGCCTGCAGTCCCGGCTGCTGCAATGAGATCCGGTGACTAGTAGACCCTTGCCATCCGCCAACCCCTTGCTCAGCAGCGCCTGCCCCGCCTCGAGGTCTCCCGCTCCACCCGCCCCGACCCCGTGCCATCCCCCGGGGACGTGGTGACCGCCCGCATCACGCGCCTGACGCCCCGCCTCGCCCTCGCCGACATCCTGTGCGTGGGTGAACACCCCTGCGCCCAGCGCTACAGCGGCGTGGTCCGCATCCAGGACGTGCGCGCCACCGAGATCGACTCCGTGCGCCTGCCCGCCGCCTTCCGCCCAGGGGACCTGATCCGGGCCGAGGTATTGTCCCTGGGCGACGCCCGCTCCTACTTCCTCACCACTGCCAAGAACGAGCTGGGCGTGGTCTACGCCAAGAGCATCGCAGGTGCGAGTGTGTGTGTGTTTGCGGGGGAGTGAGCGACAGTGTCTTGGGGTTCTCTTCCTGCCTGCCTCGCTGTGGTTGTAGTAAGGCGATCGAGCTTGGCACCCGGTGCCCGGGATGGAGAGGAGTCTGGCTGTGCACCGCAAGCCACAGGATCATGTTCATTGACCCCTGAATCCCACCCCCCAAATCCCTCGCCGGCCTTTTGGCAGCCGGAGTGCCCATGGTCCCGCTGAGCTGGCAGGAGATGCAGTGCCCCACCACCCAATCCGTCGAGTCCCGCAAGGTCGCCCGCGTCTAGGCCGACGCTGATTAGAGAGGCCCCTTGTGCCCTCCAGGCACACGCCGCCAGGCACAGCAGGCCGACGCCGGGCCACTGTGCCTCTGACCCCATGGCAGATCAGGAGCGCAGAGTGTTCCTCACCGTGGGCACCACCCGCTTCGACGCACTGGTGGAGGCAGTGGACCGTGCGGCCGTCGCGGCCGTGCTGCGCCGGCGCGGGTACACCCACCTGACCATGCAGATCGGGGCCGCGGCCTTCCAGGGCTCGCGCCTGCTGCCGGCGGGCGCGATGCGCGGCGCCCTTCCCGACGGCCTCGTCGTGGAGTGGTTTGACTACAGCCCATCCCTGGCCGCGCATGTCGCCGGCGCGGCGCTGGTGGTCAGTCATGCCGGGGCGGGCAGTGTGTTCGAGGCCCTGGTAGCGGGGGTGCCCGTCGTCGCCGTGCCCAACCCGCAGCTCATGGACGACCACCAGGCGGAACTTGCCCGGAAGTTGGAAGGCGCGGGCGTGCTGGTGGCGGCGACGCTGGGCACCCTGGAGCATGTGCTGGCCACCGCGGACTTCCAGGGGCTCGAATCTTACGTCCCGGGCGACCCCGGGGGCATGGTGGCGGCCGTGGACTGGCTCATGGGAGTGGGGAGCGCGGCTGGGAAGAAGTAGGCTGTTTTGGTAGCCAGGCTGGCTTCTTTTGGGGGAGGGGTGTCATCTCGGAGCATGTGGTACTGTGCTACCAATGTATGCCTTCCAACTCCCTTGAGATATCATGTGCCTGGTATTCTGCTTCATAAGTCCAGGATCCTGTGAGCAACGTGCAGATATCGAAAGGATGCCCTTGTGGGGGTGCGCATTGAAGAGAGGCAGGACCGGTTGCCTTCCCGCCAACCCGGGAGTCTTGCGCCTTCGTGCCCACTACGACACGACCGCTGGGCCCCGGTAGGCCCTCTATTCATCCAGCTCGTGCCCTCGTCGCAGCCATCGGCGGACCATCGAGGCGAAGGAGCTCGACACCGCATCGCCATGGAGTCTCTGAGTCGGGAAGATGTCGAGAGGTACGTCCAGGGGCAGGCCATGCAGGAGCGCTCACGCAACGGTGCTTGGCGTGGGGCAGCAATGCAATCTCTCACGCCCTCAATGCAGGCTCATGTTCTTCGATCAGACTCGCGAGGCTGCGGAGCGGGAGCACAAGGCGAACCCCAAGGACGCCCTGGTGCGCGTGGCTCCCGGGGCCGATGTCTCCACCACTCGACGTCGGGATGTGGTATAGCACTTTACGCCACTTTCTCAAGGCAATTCCAGTGTTGATGCACCGAACTTTGCCCATGTGCAGGTCTTGACCAAGTGGGGCGGTGCCCTGCTCGAGCTGGCGCACTTCCGCCAGGGCTCCGACGCCTACTCCATGATCGAGGAGGCGATCGAGAAGTTTCAAAAGGCCCTGGGCCTCGACGCCGGGCGGCACGACGCCCTGTGGTGCCTGGGGAACGCCTACACCAGCCAGGGCTTCCTCTCGCCCGATGCGGCGGCGGCCAACGCCTTCTTCGCCCAGGCCAACGAATCGTTCCGCAAGGCCGTGGACGCGCAGCCCGCCAACGAGTCCTACAAACGGGCCCTGGAGATGACCGCCAAGGCACCCGCGCTCTACCTGGAGCTCCAGCGACAGCTGGCGGCCGCGGGGCACAGCACGGGGGGCGAGAGCGCCAGCACATCTGCCGGGCCCGGGACCGCGCAGGTGAGGGGTGAGGTGTCGTAAGGAGATATTCCATAGGACTTTCATGTGGTTGATGTAGGATGTGATGGATGAAGAAATCGTCGTCTTTGGGATACAAGGGCTGCCCTGTTGTTGCCATTGCGGAGCTGTCTGAGGCCAGCACAGACGGTTCACATTGCCAACTCACTCCATGGGCATCGCCTGCCTCCTTTTCTTCCTCAGAAGCAGGTAGGCGGCATCAGCGACTTCTGGTACGACGTCGCCGGCTGGGTGACCCTGGTCGCCCTAGGGTTCGGCATCGCCACGCTCTCTCGCGGCCCCACGGCCCTGCCCCCCGCCCCGGCGCGCTAGGAGGCCACCCTTCCCCGGCCCATCGGAGGGCTACCTGGGTGTGACAGTGCCTTGCCTGTCCTGCCTTCATCCAGACACCTGCCCGCCGTCTCTGCCCTGCGCTCCTTGCTGGCTGGGGCTTGGCTGCTTGTGTGGTATTGCCGGCCCCTGCATGGCCGCAGGCACACCCGCTGACGATATTTCCTGTACACCCCACTTGCACGAGATCAAGCTTTGCACGCACATCCGTCACGATCAAGGTCTCAGGTTCTCGTGATGGGCTGGATGCCCAAAGACTATCATTACGATCAGGTAGTATCAGCATGCACATGGATGCGCTTTGGGAATTCCAAACTCTGCTCTCGCTTGCCTCCATCAACCAGGAGCGTCAGCCATGCAGCCTGTCCAAACCTCGAAGCGTATGCACGTACTCAAACTGCAGTGCCTGCTCGTCTCGTCACCGCAGCGACCGTGGGTCTGGGAGCTTGACGCCGAGCAGGGCCGCCAGGTTTGACCCCGGGCCGGCCGTGCCCTCCTGCATTCCCACCGAGGCCAGCAGGTTGCGCACCAGCTCAGCATCCAGGTCTGGGGCGGCCAAGGGGGCGGTGGCGGGGCCGCCCGCCTCCCCGCCCGATCCGCCAGCATCGCCCGCTGCCGGCGCGGCGCTGGCCGCCAGCTCAGCCTGCAGCGCCGCATCATACGCCCCCTCGAAGTCGTCGCTGTCGGTGTCGGTGTCGACGGCGTGCGCGCCCCAGCCCGCTGGGCCCTGGTCCCCCTCGCACTCATCGCTGGCAGAGCCCTCGTAGAAGGAGGACGCCTCCGAGGAGGATGCCGAACGTCCCTGGCCGGCGCCCGTGCCGGCCTCCATCCCCAGGGCAGACCGCAGCTCGGCGAGGAAGGCGTGGGCCCCCAGCTCGGGCGCACGGGGCCCAGGACTGGCCCCTTCCTGGCGCCGGGGCGGGGGTATCTCGGCGCCTTCCAGCCCGGCCCCGCCCGTCACGAAGTCGTTGAGTCGTGCGGCCAGGAGTGAGGGGTCCCAATCACCGTCAGCTTGTCGCGAGGAGCCTGGCGCAGGGATGATGGTTTCGGAATCAATGTGTGACCAGGGCCTAGCAGCGGCATTGCCTGCTGGCCTGTTCGGTTTTCCGGCGACGGTTTGGAGAAGTCAACCCAATTCCAGGCCCATGCTCCGCCACCTGCGAGCTCTGCCTGGCGAGCGGCGAGGCGAGCCTCCAGCTCTGCCTCCCCGGCCTTCAGCCAGATCAAGGAACCCTCAGGGGGCAGCTCAGTGTTTGCCTGGGAGGACGGTTCGGGGTCCTCCTCCAGCTTCTGGTGCTGTGTGAGCACGTACGCCGCCAGTCCGGGGTCTCTGAGAGCCTACTTGCAATGGCGATTGGAAGGCTGATCAGCATTGAGGCTCCACAGGCATCATGGGAAGGGTAGTGCAGGCTTTGAGTGGTGCTTGTCCAGGAATATCCCACATTGATCTGCACCTTCTCACCTCGTTGACAGCAAGGTAGCCTGCTGGTGAGGAGTCGTCCCATGTCGCCACCAGTGAGCAGTCGGCGTCAGACATGCTACTGGAGGCGCATGCATCATAAGCATGCTGAGCACGCTGGGCCACGAGCATCTCCAGCCCTGCTGCCAGCTTGGCGCCAAGGCTCGCTGCAGGAAACTGGGGAAGGGGGGGAGGGCACACAGTGGTGAGGCATGGCGGTTTGATAATTGAGTGAGAACAGCCGTCAGGGCCTGACAGCGTCATCAGACTGTGCACCTACGGGTTAGGGCCCCTCACTCATGCAGTTACACAGTCTTGTTTACAGCAGGACGGGGACTGCGAGGAGACCTTGCATGCGAGCCATGGCCTTCCCAAGGCCCCATCCCGGTCAGCTGCAGCAACCCACCTTGGGGTCGGAGGGCAGCGGAACCTCAAACCCTGCCATCCCAGGGAACTCCTGGAGGGCCAGCTGGGCATACAAGCACCTGCTGAAGGTGACGGCGGTGGTCCGAAGGTCCCTGGGCGGGAAGTGCACCGGGCGCCCCGCCGCCTGCAAGACAGGGAGAGAACGGCTGGGGTCTGGGCTGGAGGACATCATCCTGCCGAGGGGGCGACCTCCTTCAACTGCACCCCTGTCGATCCCAAACCTTGCACTCACCCACTCACACCCATGATCCAGGCCCTCCCACCTTGGCATCGTCCAGATCGCGGTAGTAGAAGGCCTCGACTGCGGCGGGGAGGAGCTGGGGGGCGGTTTGGAGGAGACGCACCGCTGCGAGAGGGAGCACAGCATGTGCGACGTGACGCTGGATGGCGAGGAAACGTGGAAAGGCGTCCAGGCGCTGTTCAAGCGCGGCAGCCACGCCAGCAGGCGCCACTGTGGGCACCGAGGGTGAGTGCAGGGCCTGCAGACCCTGTTCCAGATTTATGCTGCCGGGGAGGAGGTGGGTCGGCACGATGTGGAATCTCCCCCCGCTGATCCACACCTGGCGTGAGTGAGGTAAGGGGTCATGATTCGGACAGCGAGAAATGATCCGGGACTTGAAGGCACAGGAGAGCCAAAGCTGCCTTAGGCGGGGTGCTCAATCTGCTCTCAGAGTCCAACAGCAAACTGCCACCTAGATCAGGCCCCCTCACAACCACATCCCAGGAGGGGCCATCTCAGATGATCGCAGTGCAGCGCACTCTGTTATCTGCGATCTCCGGCTTGAGTCCTCGGGGCAGACTGTGCGCCGCCTCGATCAGCAGGAACTCGCCGTCATTATCCCACACCCTGTGGTTTGGCAGGTTGAAGACTGCGTCGCAGCGACATTGTCCAGCTGGCACCCAGCAGCACATACACAGCGCATTTACCCATCAGAATGGCAAGACGGCGGGTGTGAACACCCCTGCTCCCTATGTACCCATGCTGAGCAGGTGGGTGTGAACACGGTTCCAGCATCAACCCTGCATTTGACCCAGTGCGTACCTCACGTCCAGAGGGAAGGATTGTGTGATCTGCGTCAGCAGCCAGACCACACACCACTCGTCCTCCACATTGTCAGCAAAGCACACTGAACCCCAGAGACTGAGCCGGGGAGGATCGAGAGCTGGGGTGGATTTCGATCCCTTTCTCTGGTTCTTCTGGCGCCACGGAACCGCTCGCTCGGCGGAGGACTGGATGTCGAAGCGGCCCCGCTGCCAGATGTGCTGGGAGAGCCAGGGGAGGAGGGACTCCAGGCAGGAGGTCTTCAGAGCTCTCAGCTGGGGAGCGTCCACATCTGTGCACGAAAGGGGAGCTTTAGATGCTATTGAAGTTACTAGGAGGCTATAGACGACCGATCCGCGCACATCAAAGGCGTGAGGCGTGCCTGTGTGTGGGAAGAGCTCGTAGTGGACTGTGTTCTCCTCCGGTGCCACCGAGTCGAGGCCCAGCGCACGCCGCAGATCCATTGCAGCTCGAGTACCTTGTTATTCAGCTCATCATCCAGTATCCTGTCACTTTTTGATGGGGCTGTCCCCTTACGATCTCCATATAGCCATGCATGAGCTACGTCCGCGCCCTGGATACAGCGCTGCGCGCCCGCTGTGTGGGCGCCAGTGCCAGATCCTGAAGGGGAGATCTGAGGACTCGGGCCAACAAACACACCCGCCTCCTGCCCAAACAGGATATCCAGAGTAAGTGCCCTCCTCCAGGCTTGGATCCCACATGTCCTGGGCGTCAAGTCATAAAAGCCCTGCCTCCAAAGGTGTATTTTACAGACTTCAAAAGCCCTTGTGCAGGGGACCTGAGCCCATACGACACGGTTCATGCAAGAAGCCATTGCACGCAGAAACCGATTCCTTTACTGATACCGGACTCGGGAAAGGTGACACCAGGTACGATGGTTGGAATCGCGGAGTATGTATGCGGTAGGTCCAGTGGGCAGGCAACATCCGCGAAATATGGCCATGGACTCAGCGCTTCAGGAAGTTGACCCTGCTGAGCAGGATGACTGAGGCGGTTCGGAAGAAGATGCAGTATGCCAAGAACTGGATGTCGAAGCGGCCCCGCTGCCAGATGTGCTGGGAGAGCCAGGGGAGGAGGGACTCCAGGCAGGAGGTCTTCAGAGCTCTCAGCTGGGGAGCGTCCACATCTGTGCACGAAAGGGGAGCTTTAGGTGCTATTGAAGTTACTAGGAGGCTATAGACGACCGATCCGCGCACATCAAAGGCGTGAGGCGTGCCTGTGTGTGGGAAGAGCTCGTAGTGGACTGTGTTCTCCTCCGGTGCCACCGAGTCGAGGCCCAGCGCACGCCGCAGATCCATTGCAGCTCGAGTATCTTGTTATTCAGCTCATCATCCAGTATCCTGTCACTTTTTGATGGGGCTGTCCCCTTACGATCTCCATATAGCCATGCATGAGCTACGTCCGCGCCCTGGATACAGCGCTGCGCGCCCGCTGTGTGGGCGCCAGTGCCAGATCCTGAAGGGGAGATCTGAGGACTCGGGCCAACAAACACACCCGCCTCCTGCCCAAACAGGATATCCAGAGTAAGTGCCCTCCTCCAGGCTTGGATCCCACATGTCCTGGGCGTCAAGTCATAAAAGCCCTGCCTCCAAAGGTGTATTTTACAGACTTCAAAAGCCCTTGTGCAGGGGACCTGAGCCCATACGACACGGTTCATGCAAGAAGCCATTGCACGCAGAAACCGATTCCTTTACTGATACCGGACTCGGGAAAGGTGACACCAGGTACGATGGTTGGAATCGCGGAGTATGTATGCGGTAGGTCCAGTGGGCAGGCAACATCCGCGAAATATGGCCATGGACTCAGCGCTTCAGGAAGTTGACCCTGCTGAGCAGGATGACTGAGGCGGTTCGGAAGAAGATGCAGTATGCCAAGAGGATGAGCGCACACCACCAGATGAAGCCATACTCCCAGCCAAAATATTCCTCCACAAATGCCGAAACCGTGGTTTCCTGCCCAGCCAGATCGGCCATGGGCACATCCTGATCGCACAGCTGACTGCATGTGAGCCCATACAGCGACCAGGTGGAGGGGCTGTGGGGGTGCAGAGGAGGGATGGGGATGGGCTTGTGTGTGAGGTGATGGGGCAGGGGCACATGGGGGAATATGAAAGCATGGGCAGGTTCACAGTGGAGACAAGGCAAGGCTGAGAATCACAGATCCTCTGTGAGTGAGAGGATGGAGCCCTCGCACTGTCCTGCACGACGCTTGGCTGTCATGTGCGAGCCGCCATCCCTCCAAACAGCAGCCCCTCCCTACCTGATCCTGTTCATCCACTTCCAACCCTGGCCGATGGACGGGTATGGCATCAGGAAACCACTGACAGGAGGAGGAGAGGAATGTGTTGGAGGGCGGGAAAGGAGGCGGGGGCTAGCTTTCAGTAACTCACCAGCTAACCTGCATCCCGCACAACTCAGACAGTGGGGTGCCAGAGCAAAGGGCATGCCGCCGGAAGCGTGCCCCGACAGGCTTGAAAGCACTGCCAGCTACCCTCTCAAACCCCTCCCTTTCCCAGCACCCATCAGCTCACTTGAAGATGGCCCAGAGCTGATTGAAGGCGGCGGCGAGGAGCATTGCCAGCAGCTGATTTGGCGTGAGGTAGATGAGGAACTGCCCAAACAGCGTGTACATGGTCTATGGAGGTCCGAGAGTGTGCGTGTGGAAGTGGGGAGAGAACATGCCTGGCAGAGAGCAGGGGCTAAGCAGGGGACAAGTCAGCCCTGCAGCTGCAGGTGCGTGTGCAGTCGCAAAGCACGCTGCCATGCCACTTCGTGGCTGCCACGCCCCCTGTCCAAGCCCCAGGGCATGCGATGAGCCTCCCCGGCATCGATCAAGGCCGTTCCTGTACCCTCAGACCACCCATTGCCCTGCTCAGCCCTGTATGATCCCCTATCTCTTCCCCCCTACACCCCCTCCCCACTTCCCTCTTCCCACCCACCAGGCTGAGCCCAAACATGAGCAGGAAGTAGAAGAACTTCCAGGCCACGGGGTCGAAGCCCACCATCCAGTAGGAGATGGCCGCCATGATGACGGTCTGGATGAGGAGGTAGGGGATCTCAGCGATGGAGGTGGCCAGCGTGTATGGCCCAGGCGCATACATGGCGGCGGCCCGCTCCCGGTAGAACACGGTGCGCTCGGCGGAGATGAAGGGCATGATGGACATGCAGTTGAACATGCCCAGGAACATGGACATGGAGAAGATGAGCCCCGACACGTTTTGCACGCGTGCCACGTTCAGCGAGCCGTCAGTCGGGATGCGGCCCTGGTCGAAGTAGGTGGCGCCGTAGACCAGGGAGATGACGACGGTCAGCATGATGCGGGTCATGTCTGCGTGCGGTGTGGGAGCGTGTGGCGTTGCTTGGGGCTTGGGGAAATGGAGTGGCGGGGGGGGGGGAGGGTGCTGGGGACAATCTGGGGGTTGAGCACAATGCCAACGGGGTGCAGAAACAGGCTGAACGACGAGAGGGGTGGCCATGGGGGTCGGAGCAAGCAAGCCACACGCTCTGGGGTATCACCGGGCATAGCATGCGTGCACGAGCCTGCCCAGGCCCCCCTCGCCCCCAGCCCGCCACTGCCCCACACCACCAGCCTGGCCACTCACTGTACTCGGGCAGGTACCAGTACATCTTGCAGAACTTGCGGATGAGCCAGCGGCGCTGCATGGCGTGGGACACCGCGAACTGGGAGCTCAGGCTCAGGGGGCGGTGCGTCGCCGCCCCCACCGCCATCACGTGCGCGGCATGCGTCTCGTTTGCCTGGTACAGCGAGCTCGCCTGCGTGGGTTTGTTCATGCCGAGGCGGGTTGGGGGGTGGGAAGGATGTATCACGCTTCATGGCAGCCTCATGTGAGGAGGGTTCCCAGTGGCAAGCGAGCGACAGGCCCACAGCAGGCTGTGCAGAGGTCGGCACGCTCTGTTGCCGCTGCCGGGGCGCAGGCTTCTGGACTCCACCCACATTCCACAGGTCTCGACGAATGCTCCCCTACCATCCTTTCCATCCCCAATCAACCAGCCGACCCAGGGCCACCTTGTAGAGGGTGGGGAAGTCCTGCCCAGCGTCCTTGAAGGTGGTGCTCATGGACCCGCCAGTCACCTCCAGCATCCAGGTAGCGGGATTGTACCCGGGGCGGATGGGCTCCACCCCTGGCTGGGCCTCCAGGTATGCCACCAGGGTCGAGCTCTCGTACCCCAGATCCCCAAAGTAGGTGAGCCGACCACCACGCTGGGTTGGGGACGCAGTGGAGGGGATGGGAGGGGTGAGGAGAAGTCAGGCGGTGCGGCACTGGATGGCACAGCGATATGCATCCGGGCGCTGGCCGGTCACTGGAGATCCGAGGTTAGCAGGACACTGGGACAGGGATCTTGATCTACACCTGGAGCAGGACCATGGCATCAAAGGACTCGAAGATCTCCAGGCTCGGCTGTGAGGTGGGTAGGGGGTGGCAAAATTCTTGTATCCCTTGTCCCTGGAATGCTGAGGTCATGTCCGCATGCAGTGAAGGCAGATCTCCTATCCTCCGCATACTTGCTCAGCCAGGCCTATGCTGAGCAAGCTCCTGACCCCACCCCACCCCTGGCAGCAAGCATACTGGTAATCTAAGCCAGACCGGGCAATCACAATCCCCATGCTGGATTCAAAGACAACCTGTGTCCCTTGCCTCTTCATTGGACCCCTACCAACCTGATGGATGGTCACCATGACGGTTCGCTGGCTGTCTGCCACGTTCCGCACCGCTCGCATGACGATGGCGGCTGCCCTCGCATCCAGGCCCGACGTGGGTTCACTGTTGGCAGAGTGGAGTTGATGAGGACCAGCAGCGGTGTTTCATGGCCGGGGAAAATCCCTCCTTGAACATGGGCAACCCAACAAAAAGGTTCTGAGTACGGTGTCGTCCCCGACCCACCCCTCAACCCCCCGCCCTTGTAGCTCACTCCATAAAAACCACCGATGGGTTGGCCACGAGCTCCACTGCAATGCTCAGCCGCTTGCGCTGCTCAATGGAGATGCCGGAGCCGTCGCCACCCACCACGCGCCCCGCGATCCGATCCAGCTCCACCATCAGCAGGGTCTCCTCCACGATAGACTTGACCTGATAGAATGGGGGGGAGGGAAATGAAGATGCAGCATCCCAGCTGTCCATGTCCCCGTGAGGGGAAGATGGCGATCTATGTTGCGTGCCTTCCTTGGCCAACATCAAGCCAGGATCTCCCAGGCTCTCATGATTTGTTGACGGATCGTGAGGCTCCAACCAGCTCCTGATTACCTGGTCATAGGAAACGCTCTCCTCCAGCCGTAGGCGCGCAGAGAAGAGGAGGGATTCGCGCACTGTCACGGGTGCCGAGTGGATGTCTGTCTGCTCCACGTACCTGTGTTGGGTGCACGAGCAGGAGGAGGTCGAGGTCCCAGGAGCCATGCCGGCAGATCAAGCTGTGATGGAATCTCGGTGCGTCTCACTGGCAAGGCACCAAACATATGCATAAGTCTCCGTCGTAAACAGCAACCCCTCCCCAAGCTCTTGTGCCCATTCCCCCCTACCACTCACCCGACCACTCGCGACCAGGTGGCCTGGTCCTTTGGGTGGCCATTCACGAGGATGTCGCCCCGGATGACGCCCACTGTCTTGCGGCCGCAGATGACGTCCTGCGATGGGCCCCGCATGTGGACCGTCCCTTCATGCATACCCGTCTCTTAAACGACAAGCATTGCAGATGTTTCCACCTGATCATCAGCAAGAGCCGTCAGTGACCGGCTCACTCCTAAGGCCCCCCAAGCCCCCCCCTCCCCCCCAGGCACACCAGCCTCACCATGAGCGTGGTCTTCCCGGCGCCTGACCCCCCCATGAGGGCCATGAGCCTGCCAGGCTCGGCCACCAGGCTGATGTCGTGCAGGAGCTGCAGCTTGCCGTCCAGCTCGGCGTCCCCCGTGCCCTTCACAATCCCCCTGCCGGAGCCCTTGCCCTTGGCCGGGTCCGGCACGTAGTACTCGATGCCGCGGCACACCAGGGTGATGGGGGTGAAGGGGATGATGACGTGCTTGGCGGGCAGGGCCTGGAGCTCAATCGAGGTGAGGGTCTCCAGGTTGCCCGAGGCTGCAGGGGGATGATGGGTCGGGGCAAGGGGATGGGTCGAGGAAGAGGGGTGGGTCGGTGCAAGGCGTTGGGTCGGGGCAGGGTGTGTCACGGTAGGGTGGCACGACGCGAGCGTGGACGGTGCGCAGAGCAGTGCACCAAAAACGCATGCTCAGTCGGAGCCGCGCTCTGCATGGGTCGAGGTTCGGAGTCTGCGCGGCGACTCCCAGACCCACCACTCCTGCCACGCACCGTTGCTGTGACGGCTTGAAAGCGCGGAGACCGCCCGTGAGGTCATGCTGGCCATCCTCCCGACAGTGCTAAAGACGGAGCGCTTCACCTCCTCCTTGCCCTCCTCCGCGGCGACTGCGGCGGCGTGAAGAGGGTGGGACATGGCCGGCCGGCGCGAGGGGCCCTGGGGACCCTTCGCCGCCCTCCATCGCCACGCGGCCGCCCCTTGCATCCTCCTCAGGTCGGGAAGCGCAGCAGGACACCTCCCCCCCCCAAAAAAATGAATCACTCCCTCGACGCACTGGTGGGCCTGGGCTTGGGCGGGTCGGTGATGGTCAGGGCCAAGGCTCCCAGGATGGTGAAGATCAGCAGGAACACCCAGGAGAACACGACGGACATCCAGATGAAGATGCTGCACGGAGGAGGGGGGGCCACCGGGCCATGCTTGTCACTGCGCCTGCTGCTGACGGCCGGTGCATCACCCCTCCCCTCACCCCGATCGGGCTCGATGCGTCTCTGTGGGCCTCTCCCACCCCCCTGCCTTGCCCCACTCACGTGTTGGTGCTCATGCCGAACACGGACAGCGCAAACTCGCCCTGGGTCATGCCTCCCCCGGCAGGTGGCCCGGGGAACTGCCACTGCGGGCTCATGAGCTCGTTGATGGACACTGCCCGGACCGTCCAGGCAAGGGGGTTGATGTAGTAGATCCACTGCGCCGACGAATGTGGGAAGGAAACTGGGAAATCGTGGATACTCGTAGCCGGTCCCTGCATGAGCTCCGAAGCCCCGCACATTTGCCAGGGCCGCTCCATGGCTGGAGCGTCATGCCGGTGGTGCCCCAAACCTCAGATTCCCCCCGGCTTTGGCAGTCGCGATGCAAGGTGGGCCTGAGAGCGCCGTGGGCACCGCGCGGCATGACAGTCCTCGCTCTCCCCTCCCACGTACCACGATGTACTTGGGGATGTCGGGGTAGACAATGGAGAACCCGTTTGTGATGACGAGGATGAGGATGACGAGACCAGTCACCGGGTTTCCGACCAACACTGTGGGGAGGCAGGCAGGGGCCCTGTGGGTGCTGTTCCCATGCCAAGCTCGGCGCATGCACTCGAGTGGCGCACGCTGACACTGCTCGTGCATCAGGCTGGAGGCTCGGTGGAAGGGCCAGAGGCCCACCCATTCCAGGGACACAGCCCGAGATGCATGCACCCCTTTCGGCATCCCCACCCACCACCCCCTCTCCCACGCATCATTTTCTCCAGCCTCACAGGAGGGTGTGGAGAAGGCGATGAGGCGGAAGAGGCCCGCCAGGCAGTTGCTGCAGGACCAGGCGACCAGGAGGAAGGTGAAGAAGTGCCCCGCGGTGCGCTCAAAGTTGACCATGAAGTAGACGGGGATGCAGAAGAGCAGGGCCTCCAGGGTGGAGGGCACGACCTGGGTCAGCGCCAGCCCGCAGGCATACGACCAGGCCGGGAAGAGGCGGTTGTCACGGTGCTTGAAGAAGACGCTGCGCCGGGGAGGGTTGGGGTGCATGTGGCGGTGTGCCGGAGAATGGACCAGAGCGGGCATGAGCGTGGTGGAGGGCCGGCGCCAGGGACAAGCGTGGGGGGGCAGGGCAGGTCCCGGGGCCCTACACTCCTCGTCACTCTCCCCCCGGAACCCCGGCAGCAGGCGCCCTGCGGCACCGCCGCCCTTTCCATCATAGAGACCTGCGGACCTAGTGCATGCACCCCTGCCAGCCGATGCCAGGCACCACAACCATCCTCATTCCTTCTTCGACCTCTCCTTACCCCTCTTCCCCCTCTTCCGCCCCCCAACACAACCCACTGTTTGGTCATGAACACCAGGGAGAGCTGCGGCGTGCTCATCATGACCAGGAAGATGGTGGTCAGCGCGCACAGCGCGATGACCTTGCGCCAGGAGTCTGGGCTGGGCTGGATGTCCACGAACAGCGAGCCGATGATCAGCGCCATGACCAGCGCCTGGACGGCGCGGGCGATCATGAAGGCCCGCCCCCGCACCAGCGTCAGCAGCGACTGCCGCTTCAGCACCATGCCCGCCAGGAACACCCAGCTGGGGGAGGGGGAGGGGTGGCAGGGCTGAGGGGGGGTGGGGAGTGCGAGACCGGCAGGCCACCGCTCAGCCAGCAAACCCTGCCAGGCACCTGTTGGCGTATCGGGTGGTGGGTAGGGGCTCGGCCGCCCCCTTCCCCGGCTTGCCGCTGTCGAGTCTGGCCAGCATGTCCCGGCCCCACTCCGTACCCCTCCAGAAGGCATCTGCACGCCGGGAGCAAGGACGGGGGTATGTTTGAGCGTGACAGGACGGCATCGGCGGCGATGTGCATGGGGTGGGGCAGGAGAGGGCGGCGCAGGGATGGCTGCCAGGCTGGTGTGGGAGCAGGCCGGCAGGGGGCCCTTGCCGGCACCGGCACTCGCCGAGCCTCCCAGTCAACAAACTCTGGCATCACGCAAGGCACACCCGCCCTCCTCACACGGCACACGCCCGGCCACGCAGCCTGCATCGCCCTCCACCCCTCCCTAGCACACCCAGCAGCAGGACACAAGCACAGGCCCAGGCCTCGATGCCCCTGGGAGGTTGCCCCCGCCTCACACCTGCAACGTCCGCGACAGGCGTCAGCAGCGTGGTCGGGGGCTGGCTGATGAGCTGGCGAGGGTTCCGCAGGCTCTCCGGCACCTGCCTCTCCTCCAGCAGCGCCTTGGTGGCGTAGGTCAACTGCCCCGCTGGCGTGGTGACCTCCTGCAGGAAGCTGCCAGGGTCCTTGCGGGGCGGGCAGACGAAGCCGAGGTCCGCGAAGAAGCCAAGCACCGACTCCACCGGGCCACTGGGGAGGTGGGAGGGTTTTGGAGTGGGGTGCTGAGCGTCACACGCAGCAGGTGCAAGGTCCCTGGTTGTGGTGCAGGCCAAGCTGCGGTGTGGCACAGGAGCCGTCGCTCTGTGGCAGCCGACCGGGTCGGTGCTGTGAGCGCTTGAGCCAAGCCCCGCCTCACGGACGCCACCCGGCAGGGCAACCTCCACTCAACGCACTGGTAGATGACGTGGCCGTCGGTGATGATGAGCAGGTCGTCGAAGAGGCGCATCACCTCCGGCGGCGGCTGCAGCAGCGACACCAGCATGGTGCGGTGCAGCGTGTGGCAGGCGTTGCGGAAGGTGCGGATGACGCTGTAGGTGGTGGCGCTGTCCAGACCCGTGGAGATCTCGTCCATGAGGAGGACGGCCTGCGGCCCCACCAGCACCTCGCCCGTGGTCACGCGCTTGCGCTCCCCCCCAGAGATGCCGCGCGTCATGCCGTCCCCGATGCGCGTGTCGGCGGCGTGGCTCAGCCCCATCACTTTCATGATGATGTAGGGCTTCAGCTTGTGCCGCAGCACCTGCCTGCGGGGCGGCGGGGGGATGGGGTGGCACACACTCTCCCTCCCTTGCCATTTTCGCTGTGAGCCAGGCACGGCAATATTCGCTCGACAAGAGCGCCTGCACTTCACTCATCTTCTTAATCCATCTCGGCATCCCCCTCTCCCCTCCCAGCTCACAGAATTTGGAGCATGAAATTGGCATCCAGTGGCTTTGGGGCAGCCAGGTGGTAGGTGGAGGAGTGCTTCATGAGCGCGGCGCGCTTGTACGCATCAGCCGCCAGTTCGGCGGGTGATGGCGCCCCGGGCTCTCCCTCGGAGGGGACGGGGACCCCACCGGGAGAGGCGAGCGTCCCCTCCCCCAGCACCTCCCTGGCATCCGTGTACGCGCTGGCGAGGCTGGCCGCTGAGCTGGCACGGCGTGAGGCCGCGTCCATGAACTCCTCGTCCGTCTCGGTGCCGACGTCTGGTGCCCCGCCGATTGGCAAAGGCTGGCGCGCAAAGGGCGTGTCGCCCGCGGCCGACGCTCCATTCGCGGTGAGCGTCTGGGGCTCCGGCCCGGGCGAGGCTTCCTTCTCCCGCGGGGCGGCGCGCCCTGCTCCCGCAGGGCCGGACCTCGTGGCGCCCGCCAGCCCCTCCTCCATCTGAATGAGGGTATTCTGCTCTCGCACGGTGCTGGCCTCGATCGCGGCCAGCTTCCTCTCCAGCTCGGTCACGCCGGCATCCACCTGCTGCTGGTTGGTGAGGCAGGCATGCGCGAACTGCAGCGTCTCCAGCACGGACAGCTCGGCGATGTGGTGGTCGTCTGGCGGGGGAGGGGGGGGGGGGGGGGCGCGAATGTGATGCTGTGCTTGCCAACCCCGGGCCGCAGCCTCCCTAGCATGGCAGAGCAGGTCCCTGCCCAGCGCACAACGCACATTGGTCGACCAGCCCGGCGGCACGCTGCACCATGAAGCTGTCCAGCGGCTGCCCATTGTACTCTATGCTCCCTGACACCTGCAGGGGGAGGAGGACAGCAGGTACGCGTGGGGAGGGCCGGCGGAGCTGTAGCGTGACAGCTGCCGGGCGCAGGCAGCACTCTCCGCTCAGAGCACTGTAAAGAAAAAGAGCTTTCAGCACCCAATGCCGCATGGTCAGGCATCGAGGCCCCTGCTCTTGGACACAGAACATATGAAACGCACCCTCAGGCCTCCATGGGGCTTCAGGCGGCCGGAGAGAGCTTGGAGGAACACGGACTTGCCGGATCCGGGCGGGCCGATCAGCAAGGTCAGTTTACCCTGGGTAGGATGGGAGATCGGCCAGGGGTGCGGAGCGGAGTGGGATCGACATCCGGTAAGGCGGGCGTGATGTCCATGCAGGTCCGGGAGTGTTACCCATGAGGTTGTATCCAAGGCGGGGTCGTCTCTCCCTCACCATGTCAACCCTGCACCCACCGGCCGGAGCGCCCCATTCACGCCATCGAGGATGCGCAGGGGCTGCTTATTAGCCCTGCCTCGCAGGAGTAGGGAGTTGAGCACCCCCACCGCAGAATTCCATAGGCTAGGGTTGTTGCTCAGCCCCACAGCAGCATCCGCCTCGACGACCAGGTTCTTGTACTGGATCTCTATCTGTGGCACTGCCCCAGGCAGCAATCTGAACGGCAAGGAGAGCGGTCAAAGGTCAAACCTTGGACAGACGGGGGGCGATGGATGCCCCGCTCTGCGGGTTCCTTGCAATGGCCCATCACAACGCTCGACACCCCAGGAGCCGACCGTACCGGAGGACTGGAGCGAGTCGCTGGTGAAAGGTCACCCCATCTACGGTGTCGCTGACCAAGTCATCAGCGATTGCATCCTTCTCAGCCCTGAGCATAAGAGGGAGGTGTCGGGCCCAATGAATTGGGTTTTCGGACAGGCGTGCCGTAGACGCCGAGCACGCGCTCACCTATCAAGGGCCTTGCGGCTTTGCGAGGAGAGGGGTTGACCCCTTGCAGCGTCGATAAGTTCCTCCTCATCCCTGCGCGCAGATGCATCCAGACGCTTGCGGCTGGTGACAAAGTAGTCGCCGACCGTGGAGGCTCCGTCGACCCCAAAGCTGCTGTCCGTACGATTCACAAAGGGAGGATCAATGTGTTCCTGTGCCGACATCCTGTAGGAGGAATCGCACTTTGTGTGGCAAGATGTAGACTTGAAAGCTGTCCATTTGCAATTAAGGTGAGTGCCTCTTCCGAGGAGTGTCGAGTGGGTTTCTTAAAATCTTGGAAGCGCAGATTCTTACCAAATCATGACACTGCCATCTTCAAAGAACCCTGATCGATTGCACGGACAGATAGCCGTCTTTGATGCATACGTCACTCTTGATCAAGCTGACGAGCTCCTCCCCTTACGATGAGCCCAAACACAGCTCATACCCAGTCCATTCCTCTCAACTAATTCCCTCAGCCTTGTCAGGGAGTGGCATGATCTCGCAGGCAGTGCCGGGGATTTCCTTGACCATTATCATCTGGTGCCGACATCAGAAGGTCACATCGACCGGGTCCCCCCCCAACACTTATATGTAATTGAGCGACTACTGCTATTACACTGAGTAAGGACACGCGCTACCGGATCAGTCATTCTCAACATGTTGGCTGTTCTCACGTTGTTTGCAAGGGGGCACGACTCGTTGCACAAGCAGCAAGGCTCCATCCTCCCAGGGGGTCATCAGCGTCGCAGGTAGCTGACCTTGCTGAGCAGGATGACAGAGGCTGTCCTGAAGAAGATGCAGTAGGCAAAGACGATGAGGACGCACCACCAAATCATCGCAAAGTCCCAACCAAAGTAGGCTCTCATGAAATCGGGCAGGTAAATGTCGCTCCCCGACAAGCCTGTCATCAGAGTTTCCTTGTCGCAGAGCTGACTGCATGCTAGACCATACAGCGACCATGTGGCAGGACTGCGGGTGGGAGAGACCAAGGATGGAGGCTCACCAGGGGTCCGATGGCCATTAGCAGTTCGGAGATGCTTCATGCAAGGGCTCTCTGCAGTGGCAACTCCTTGCTGGGTGGGGCAGATTGGCCCAGCCTGGACCCCAAATGCCCACTGCCGTCCAGCAACATCCCCCACAAACGAATGCACTGCCCAACCTGATCCTGTTGAGCCACTTCCAACCCCGCGGGATCTCGGAGTAGGGGATCATGAAGCCACTGTGGGAGATTGCGGGGGTCCAGGTGGGCGGGTGAGCGCATGGTTGGGGCAGCATAAAGCGAAGGCTGCCCCTTGTGGACTCGCGTCACCGCACGCCTCGGCGATTACCCAGTCAGCAGCCAGTCCCATCGGGGATGAGTTCAGCCCTCGTGCCCTCCCCACAGGCCCCCCAGCCGCCGCACTTGCTCAGGTTCCAGAGCTGGTTGAACAGGGAGGCCAGCATCATCGCCATCAGCTGATTCGGTGTGAGGTAGATCAGGAACTGCCCCAGCAGCGTGTACATGGTCTGCAAGGGGGTGGCTGAGGTCCCTGAGCATGCTGCAGGCGAGGCTGAGCGGTGGGCGCACCCGAGCCTGGGGTGTCTGCCTGGAGTACACAGCTCAGGGGCTCGCCCCAGCGTGTGCATCCCCCGCCCTTCCAGTGACAGGATGGACGCCGCTCGTCCCATGCTCGCAGACATACGTATTCCGGCAGCACAGCCGCCCCATTCCTCAAGGCAGCAGCCCCGTGGAGCAGGGCATTCATCAGGCAGCTGCACAGCGGCCCCAGCGGCTTCGCCGCCAACCCGGGCCCCCCCCCACTTCCCCCTCACCAGCACCAGGGTCAGCAGCAGCAGGAAGTAGAAGAACTTCCAGGCCACGGGGTCGAAGCCCACCATCCAGTAGGCCACTACGGACATGATCAAGGCTTGGATGAGGAGGTAGGGGATCTCCGCGACGGAGGTGGCCAGCGTGTAGGGCCCGGGGGAGTACATGGCGGCGGCCCGCTCCCGGTAGAATACGGTGCGCTCGGCGGAGAGGAGAGGAATGATCGATATGCAGTTGAAGATGCCCAGGAAGGTGGTCATGGAGAAGAGCACGCCCGCGATGTTCTGGACCTGGGCCGCCGAGATCGAGCCGTCCGCGGCCACCTTGCCCTGGTTGTAGTACAGCGCGCCGTAGATGAAGGAGATGATCGTGGTCAGGAAGATGCGGGTCATGTCTGTGACAAGGGCCAAGAGGAGAGAGGGAGGAGGGGTAGTGGTGAGGGGAGGGGAAGGCATGAGCAGCTGGCCCCCTTGTGGAAGACCAGAGCAATTGTTATGTCTTCCCAGGGTAACATAACTTTGGGCGCTGCAAACTCTGAGGACCATCCTGCGACCTCGAAACTAATCCCTGCCCCCCCTTAACCCTATCCACCCGTGACCCCCACCCCAATCCACCACCACAGGGGCTCACTGTACTGTGGAAGGTGCCAGTACATCTTGCAAAACTTGCGGATGAGCCAGCGGCGCTGCGTGGCTTGGGACGCTGCATACTTGGACCTCAGGGTCAAGGGGGGGTGCTCCTTGGCACACTTTTCCAGCAGCTGGGAAGCATGGGCCTCATTTTGCTGGAAGAGATGGCTCACCTGTGGATTTGCATGGCGATTGATGGAGGGAGGGGAGGTATGTGCTGAGAGTACTCCGAAGCGGTGTTGGGCAGGGCACATCACCATCGTGTGAAGTGTGAGCGGAGTTGCGTCTACTGATTCAAACCCCCTTGCCTCATACATGCCTGTCCATGCGCCCAACTTACCCTGTAGAGGGTGGGGAAGTCCTGCCCAGCGTCCTTGAAGGTGGTGCTCATGGACCCACCAGTCACCTCCAGCATCCAGGTAGCGGGATTGTACCCGGGGCGGATGGGCTCCACCCCTGGCTGGGCCTCCAGGTATGCCACGAGCTGTGAGCTCTCAAAGCCCAGGTCCCCAAGGTACGTCAGCCTGCCCCCGCGCTGGGATGGTGCAGTCGTGTGAGGAATGAGAAGTGCGTCGTGACAGCACCGATTCGCCGGTGTTGGCAGGATCGCTGCACGTGAACACCAAACATTCCTGACGCAACTCCCCCACACCCCGCCCGCCTAACCATGAAGGCGGGTGTAGGCATCCTCCCTCATTAAATCTCCCCTGAAACTCACTTGCAGAAGTAGGAGAGCATCAAATGCTTCAAAGATGTCCATGCTCGGCTGCAGTGCGGGGAGGAGAATGGCCAGCTGGCTTAGCATGTATGAGCCAGGAGGAGGAGGGGTGTCTGTGTACTCTTTCAGAAGGAATTAGACTCGAGCATGAATCTCACAGGCAATCGTCACGGTCGCCCGGGTAGCAGTGGGCCACCGTTGTTGGGGGGTTCGAGAAGGTGGACATGGAAGCGCCGACCATCCCAGAGGATGCTGGAACACAGGCGATGCACTCCCACGGCCAATGTTCCCCACACCCCACCAACCTGATGGATGGTCACCATGACGGTCCGCTGGCTGTCTGCCACGTTCCGCACTGCTCGTATGACAATGGCGGCCGCCCTCGCATCCAGGCCCGACGTGGGTTCGCTGTGGGGAGAGGGTGAGATGGAGGTGGCTGCCGGTGCAGGCGCAGAAGAGGGGCTCGCTCCCCGTGCCTGTGCGTCACCCCGTCCCAGAGACACCTCCTGGTGCAGAGCTGCCGCGGTGCCACCCCACCCTGCTCACTCCATGAAGACCACCGAGGGGTTGGCCACGAGCTCCACGGCGATGCTCAGACGCTTGCACTGCTCGAGCGACAGGCCAGAGCCATCGCCCCCGACGATGCGCTCCGCGATCCGGTCCAGCTCCACCATGCGAAGGGTGTCATCTACGATGGCCCTGACCTGTTTGACAGGGCAAGAACTTCCATGGTGGTCATGCTGGGGTCACAGACACAGCTACGCTTTGCACTGCTTTGCACACAGCTGTTGTGGGCAGGGCGTCTTCCACGCAGCCTTGGACAGCGGTGATACAGGGTCTCACCCACAGCACTTACATGTTCAAAAGACACGCTTTCCTCGAGACGCAGCCGAGCGGAGAAGAGGAGGGACTCTCGCACTGACGCTGCTGCAGAGTGTATGTCTGTCTGTTCGACATACCTGAGTTTGGTGAAGGAGGGAAGATGAATAGGGGCATGGGAGTCCTCCAAGCGAGAGATGGGGTGGTGCTCCCCCACAAAGCACCGCACACCCAAAGCATCAGCCTTTCCCAGTGGCTGTTCTCAACGCAATCGCTCCCAAGGCGCCAATCAGCCCCCTCTTGTGACTTACCCGACCACTCGCGACCAGGTGGCCTGGTCCTTTGGGTGACCGTTCACAAAGATGTCGCCACGGATGACGCCCACGGTCTTGCGGCCGCAGATGACGTCCTGCGATGGGCCACGAATGCGGCCTCTCTCTTGATACATGCGCACTCATAAAAAGCCTGGTACCGCAGGAGATTTGACCTCAGCGAGCGCAGCAGCGCCAAGGGTGCTCTGGATTCCCTGCTCTTCGACTTACCAAGCCCCCTGTCCACCAAAGGCACACCAGCCTCACCATGAGCGTGGTCTTTCCGGCGCCTGACCCCCCCATGAGGGCCATGAGCCGGCCAGGCTCGGCCACCAGGCTGATGTCGTGCAGGAGCTGCAGCTTGCCGGCGAGGGCGGGGTCGTCACCGTCGTCCACAGCGCCCTTGCGGCCGGCCCTGCCCTTGGACGGGTCAGGGACATAGTACTTGATTCCTCGGCAGATCAGGGTGATGGGGTCAAAAGGCACCGCCGAACGCTGTGAGGTGGAGGTCTCCAGCTCATCTGAGCCGCAAGAAAGCTGGGCACCCAGGTCTGATTTGATAGGGGGTGTGGGGAGATGGACCAGTGGGGCCCAGCATCGGTCAGAGCTGCGGCGCGCGCGTCGTGAGCCCTCCCCCCGCCCGAGCGTGGCGTGCACAACAGCAGCACACATCCCTTTCCCCCCAAAGGATGGCTCACGGCTGCTGGCTTGGGCGGACAGCGTCGACATCGCCATGGAAGACATCCTCGCCATGCGACCGGCGGTGTCCTGCACCTCCCGCTCAAGCTGCTTCTTCCCCTGCTCCACTTCAACTGCCGGACGATGATGAGAGGGGAAGTGGGAGTTCAGAAGGAGGGGGGGGGATCTCCTCGTCTCACACCCGCTGGCATCATGCTGCGCAGGCATAGCTCTGCAATTGGCCCAGAGGCAGCGCTGCCTGGGGCCGGTGGGCCTGCACCTGTGGGTCTGGGCTTGGCCGGCTCCGAGAACATCAGCGCCACCGCGCCCGCAGCAGTGTACACGAGGAGCATGCCCCAGAAGTAAACCACGCTGTACCAGATGTACATCCTGGAGTTGGGTCGGTGGGAAAGGGGGGCGAGGGCGAGGGAGCGGTCGGCACACTGCACAGGACACACCTGCTGGGGCGTGGACTGAGACGTTCCCAGAAACCAGGGTCCTGAGGAACCGGCGCTTGCCCATCGACAAAGCAAAGGCCCCGCCTGCAATGCTCACATCATCCCCACCTTACCCCTGCCACTCACCGGTCCCTGCGCAAACCAAAGGCGGCGAGCGCATACTCGCCCTGGGTCAACCCTTCCCACCCATTCGCTTCCGGTATCTGCCACCCTGGGCTCGTGAACTCGCTGATGGCAAAGGCCTGGACACACCACGCGGTGGGATTCAGGTAATGCACCCACTGCAAGGGTGGGGGTAGGGTGGAGACGGGCATGTGAATGTCGGGGAAGTGGGTACCAGCAGGCTCCTGGCAAGATCCTGGGGTGCCTCGTGGGCAGGAGCACCCAGTGAGGTCTGGCTGGGTACCCGAGGATTCCACCACGTGTTACAGGCAGAAGGCCAGAGCAAAGGGAAGGTGCTGCCGGGCCTCCTCCCTCCTGCAAGGTGCCAACACTTTCTTCCCTGCACCCCACGACCCCCCCCCCAACCCCCCCCCTTATACCCCAACAGCTCACTATCAGGTAATCAGGGATGCTGGAGGTGATGATGGTGAAGCCATTCGTGAGGGAGATGAGCAGGAAGATGAGCCCCATGATCGAGTTCCCCACCAGCACTGGGAAGGGTGAGTGGGTGGGTGGCGCGGGGGGGTCATTCATGACTGCCCCTTGCTCCCCCATGCATCCGGCTGGATCAGGGCGGGAGCCGCTGCCGTTGCATGCACAGCAGCGCAGCCACACCCTGGCCCCATGTCGGTGCACGAGGGCAGACCCTCGTGGGCGGGCCGCACGCCGAGTGCTTGCTGCCAGGCAGGCGCAGGCGCGACCAGGCATGCCCGCGGAGCTCAGGCCCCGACCCCTGGCACTCACGACTGGGCGAGGAGAAGGCGACCAGGCGGATGAGCCCTGCCACGCAGTTGCTGCAGGACCAGACCAGGAGGAGGAAGGTGAAGAAGCATCCCGCGCTGCGCTGAAAATTGACCAGGAGGTAGAAGGGGGGGCAGAAGAGCAGCGTCTCCAGGGCCGATGGCACCAGCTGGGTGACAACAAAGCCCGAGGTGTAGGACCAGGCCGGGAAGAGGTGGTTGTCGCGGTGCTTGTAAAACACCCTGATGAGGAGGGGGGGGGCCCAGTGGAGCCAGGTGGGGGTTGGGTGGACGGGCTGGTGGGGCAGAGCATTCTCAAGGAGTTTGGGAAGGGGGTTCGAAGACATGTGACATTTGGGTAAGCAGATCCCTTTTCCCCCCTCACATCCCAGTCAGCACCTCTTGGTGTTGAACACCAGGATCAGCTGGGGGGCGCTCATCAGGGTCACATAGTTCACCGCCACGACGCACGCCGCAAACGTCTTTCGCCAAGTGGTTGCGCCGGGTGTGATGCCGAACAGCATGGATCCCATGATGAGCGCCTGGATGGCAGCCTCGATGGGGCGGGCGATGATGAAGGCGCGCTGGCGCACCAGGTCGAGCAGCGCCTGGCGCCGGATCACCAGCCACGTGGCGCGCAGCCGGCTGGGGGAAAGGGTGTGGAGGAATGAGGGTGGGGAGGAGCACTGGCCATGAGAGCATGGGCGCAACTCACAAGGCAACCGGGGATTCGAGTGGCAGCACCTTCCCAGGCCGTAGTGAACCCACATGCCCCGCATTCCTGCCCGGCGACCTGTTGGCAAACTTGGTGGATGGTAGGGGTGCCTGCTGCTCGGCCCCATCGCCTGCCGAGTCCAGGCTCGCCAGCATGCGCCCGCCCCACTCGCTGCGATGCCAGAACGCCGCTGCATGAGGCGGGGAGGGCAGGGACCTCAGCATTTCAGCATCCTAGGGCAGGTGGCGAGCAGAGGGGAGGACAGTGCACGGGCATCATTGCCGAAGGCAGCGGATTTGAGATGTCATCTCCCTGGAGGAGGCTCCCCCTCTTCCAGGCACGCAGGCTGCAGTCAGTCCCAGATAACATTCCCCCACCTCTCCCCTCAACCGTACTCCAGGGTCCTCAGAAAACCTGCACCCACCTGCAATGTCCTCGACGAGAACCAGCAGGGAGGCGGGCGGGTTGATGATGAGATTATGGGGGGTGCGCCTGCTCTCCCGCACCCGTTTTGACTTCAGCAGCCCTTCGGTCGCATACGTCAGCTGCCCGATGGGTGTGGTAACCTCCAGCAGGAAACTGGCCGGGTCCTTGCGGGGCGGGCAGGCGAACCCCAGCCTCGTGAAAAAGCTCAGCGCATGCTCCACGGGACCACTGGCGAGAGGAAAGGGTGGAGAGGGTGAGGTGGGGGTGTTGGGGGGGCGCCTCCAATATTGTCCCAGACCGAGCATGAACTGTGAGGATAGGCATGCATCCCCTTTTACAGCAATGGCAGGGGCTCAGGCCCCTTGGACTCTCTGAAGGCCCTCTCTTGTCCAAGTCCTTGGCCCCCCTGCCCTCTGGCCATCCACCCCCCCCCTCCCTTTTCCTATCTCTCAGACGCACTGGTAGATGACGCGGCCGTCGGTAAGGAGGATGACGTCGTCAAACAGGCTCATCACCTCTGGCGGCGGCTGCAGCAGCGACACCAGCACGGTCTTGTCCAGGGTGTGGCAGGCGTCGCGGAGGTGGCGTACCACGCTGTAGGTGGTGGCGCTGTCCAGACCCGTGGAGATTTCGTCCATGAGGAGGACGGCCTGCGGCCCCACCAGCACCTCGGCCGTGGTCACGCGCTTGCGTTCACCCCCGGATATGCCCCGCGTCAGCCCGTCCCCGATCTGCGTGTCGGCGGCGTGGCTCAGCCCCATCAGCTTCATGGTGACGTGGGGGTTCAGCCTGTGCTTTACCACCAGCCTGCTTGAGAGGGGGGTGGGGGGGTGGGGTGACCAATGAGCGCCGTCGAGTCGGGTGGCGAGGCACAGGCTCGCTGCACGACCTGCACCGCCCCAAAGAACAGGGTCCTCCAGGGACCGCCGGGGGGAAGGGTGAGGGAGGCTGCAGCGCGAGAGGGTACAGAGCCGCCAGACCCCATGCACAAGGCGCACTCCACCCACAGCTCACAGGACCAGCTTCAGGAATTCTGCATCCGGACCCTCCATGCCATCGGTCTGACAGCATCCAGGGGGCGCTCTGACCGCCTGACGCTGCACGCCAAGCCCCGCAGCACGGCCAAGCGTAGCTGACGCGGCACGCCTGCTGCCGGCCGGCGCCCCGGAGCCATGCCTGCGGGTCCCGTCCAGACCTTGCGTCCCCCGCACGGCGCTGCGGGGCGGCCCCAGAGACGGACTCGCAGGGCTCGCGCCACCTTCGGCGGGCCGGGGGGAACTTCCCGTGGGCGCGGCGGGGGAGCCTGCAGGGGAGTCGGGCTCCTTCCCGTTGGAGCTCCGCGGACTAGCATCCTTTCCATGTGCTACCATTTCCAGCCCCTCCTCCAGCTGCCCCAGCGCCTGCGAGAGCGCCTGCGAGAGCGCCTGCGAGAGGTAGGCAGGGAGGGGCTCTGAACCCTCCAGCGCCCGCTTCAGCTCCTCCATGCTCCTCAGCACCTGCCCCTGGTTCACCAGGCAGGCGTAGGCAAACTTCAGGGTCTCCAACACCGAGAGCTGGGGGATGTGGTGGTCATCTGGGGGGGCGGGGAGGGGGGGGGGGCGAGGGGAAAGGATGGCATGTTAGGCGCTGGAGGCGGCGGCGCGGGCTTAAGGCCAACACTACCCTCGGGCAGGCTCCGACACACAGCCCTTGGGCACGGGTGGCAAGCGGGCGCACATTGGTCCACGAGGCCGGAGGCACGTTGCACTGTGAAGCTGTCGAGCGGCTGCCCGTTGTATTCTATGCTCCCTGTGACCTGCAGGGTGAGGGGGAGGATTACCCTCCGTCAGGCGCCGCCGCCACAACCCTGAATGTATGCTGTGTGCTCCAGCCAGGCACTTGGCGTGGCCCCCAGCACACAACGAATTGTGACCTCGGCTGGCCAGTCACGAGCATGCCCAGCCACCCTGCCCCGGCACTGCCCACCCTGAGTCCCCTGTTGATCCTCAGCCGCCCAGAGAGGGCCTGCAGGAAGACCGACTTTCCGGAACCCGGCGGCCCTATCAGCAGAGTGAAGCTGCCCTGCAGGTGTGCGACAAGTGAATAGCATCAGTGCAGGTACCTGTGCAGGTGAAAACCCAACACTTCTTTGTACACAAGCATGGAAAATGACATGACATATCCATGCTGCCCTTCCATTCACAACTCCAATGATCTCCTCACCGGCTGCAGCATCCCATTAACTCCCTCCAGAACACGCAGTGGTTTCTTGGACACATGGCTTCGCAGCAGCAGGGTGTTGAAGGTCCGAAGAGCCGAGTTCCAGATGCTGGGTTTGTCGCTCAGCCCGACAGCCGCATCGACCTCCACAGTCAGATCCTTGTACTTCACCTCAATCCGCGGCAGAGCGTTTGGGATCAGACTGCAGGCCAGGGGAATGGGTGGGGTTGGAGGAACTGGGAGGATCTTTGATCGCTTGAGCCTCAGGATCCGTGCTCCCCTGGTAGAGAATAGCTTCCCCCCTCCTGCCTGGGGCATCACGGAACCACGCCTCGTACCGAAGAACGGGGAGCAGACGCTGTGGGAGGCTGGTGCCCTCGGCAGTACTCCCGATGACATTCTCCACAATAACATCCTTTTCAGTCCTGCTTGGAGGGGTAAGGGCTTGTGCAAGGATATCCAGTGTGGGAATGCATGTATGGGCGGGCTTCAAGCTTTGCTCACCTGTTCAGGGTTTTAGAATGTGGGTGTGCAGGAAGCTGCAGCGAGACAGCCTGGATGAGTTCAAGCTCATCTAGAATGGCGCTCGTGTTCTGGATCTGGTCGCTCGCAGAGAAAAGGTCGTACACCCGGCTGAGGCCCTCCAACCCGAGGGACCTCTCTGGCCGGTCCATGCGCCCTCAGCTCTCACAGCCTCACGAAAGAGTACGGTAAAACCTCCCGAGTTCTGAGCGTTTTTGAACTCACGTGTCGGTATGTGACTCCGACATATTCCCTTGACGCGCCCTGCTTGGGTAACCGGAAAATTGTATGATGAGATTCTCATCCGTCCGGCATGTGACCGAGCGTACACAGATTCCTCCCGCAAACCCTCGCCAATCTCCGGAGCATTCCCATATGGTTTAGAAACGAGGTCGTTCCTTCATAGTGTCACGTTTTAGTTTATGGGGCCTTCTATACTGACATGAATGTACGCTCCAGATTAGCTCCGGGTGTCCTCACACCAGAGCAGTTCACGACCCTGGGCGACCTCGATTGAAGGCAATGAGCCTGATGGATCGTTCATTTGCATATATATCAGACTGGTCTTGGAGGGCAAGGCTGACCGGAGACGTGCGGTGCCTGTGACTCAGGGACGGTCCGGAGCGTCAAGCTGGTCGGACATTCGTATAGCCCCGCGCGCCGCCCCGCACAACAGCGAAAGGCTGATCGCAGTAGCGTCTTGTTATTGGAGGTGCCAACCTGTCATCATCTTTTGATATACTCGAATGTCTGTCCTGCGCACGGAGCCGCGATTGCCTGCGCTGTGCAGGAGTGGCCATGCATCCTACATCGCTCTTGGATCGGGAGCTCCGAAGCCTGATGCCAAGGGTGGCAACCTCGGAGCAATATGGGTGACAAACACCTCTCAATACATGCATGAAGATGGGTCCAGTACCCTGTGACCATGTCCCTCACTGGCTCCCGGCCCGGGGCCGCTCACAACAGGCTGTCCTGAGCTCCACACACAGCGCATCGAAGGGTGTACGCCACACCCCAAGATCAGCAGCGCACACACGTGGCTGTGGCCGGCATACAAAAGGACAGGGAGGGGTCTGGGAGCGCACGAGGACCTGTCGGCCCGTGGGCGTGATGGGTGCTGTGTCCAACCCTGCCGCCCGCCGCTGCCACAAGGTTACCCCCCCTCAATCCCCCCCGGGTCAAGCGGACTTCTCACGTCCCGCCGGTGCCTGCTGGCCAGGCACCGCGGCCGCCGGCTCGCCGGCGACCACGCCCTCGTCGCCGCCCCGGGCCCTCTGGTCCCGGGGCCGCCTGCGTGGCGGGAGCACGGCGCCCACCAGCATGATGGCCAGCACCAGGCCGTGGCCATAGAAGCCCACCGACCTCCACAGGTTCCAGGTGTCCTGCCAGGTCAGCACCTGCATATGGGGGGATGGGGGTCAGGCACGGGAGGGGGCGGTTGGGGAAAGGGGCCGGGCGGGGGGTGGCACGCCGAGCGCGAGGCACCCTCGGGGCGCCTCGCCAGCCGATGCCCCCGCATCGGACCCTTCATGGCTGCCCGGCACCAGACCCGCTGGGGTGTGTGCATGCGCCCCCCTTGCCAATCAGCCAGGGACAAAGCGTCCCCAGGCCCCAGCCTCCACCCACCAGGAAGGACATGGCGGCGTAGTTGAGCACACAGGATGTCAACGCCATCTTGGCCGCCTGCCAGGGCCAGAAGCTTCTGGCCCAGACAGGCCAGCCCTGCTCGTACCTGCAGGATGGTGGGATGGTGGGGAGGTGCAGGCATTGGAGAGCAGCTTGTTGATAAGGGATGCCGTCTTGCGGTGAGGAGGGGATTGTGCACTGTACCGTCCAACATTGGGGCCGAAGTTAGGGGACAGAGGTGGACCTGAACGCCAGGGCACCCCCCAGCTCACCGATACATGACCTTGGACGCCTCAAACATGAGCGCCGAGGTGGCAAAAAAGGCCCAGTATCCCGGGAATAGGCCGTGCCACACCCCCGAGGTCAGCTGCGTGGCCAGCGTGGTCACCACCGTGGGTCTGCGACCCTTGGGGGTCAGGCGATCGTACACATCTTGGGTTATTCGGGGGGGTGGGGGGGTGGGGGGGGCGCAAGGTGGGTGAAGTTGGGGGGCATCGTGCAGCTCAGTTGTGCATAGATCAGGAGGAGGGCGAATGGCATGCGTCGAGGGCGTTCAGCACCGCCTGCAGGGGTGCATGGCAGGCCTGGAGCCCCTGCAGTGCCCCAACCCTCCTCGGCCCCTCTCCTCACGGTGCCGCAGGAATTTGCCGGTGCAAATGTTCCAGTTGCCCGCCAGCGCCGACATGTACGGCTGGAACTCCACCGCACGGATGCGAGTGTTGACAAACCGCCCCCAGGAGGCCCGGCCCTGCACATGGAATTTGCTTGTGAGTTGCTGTTCTGTCAGTCTCGTGTGATCAGGTGGACGAATTGGGGGGGAGGGGTCCCAGATGAAAGCGGGCGGTGCGGTCAAGGCACTCGCACCGACGGGGCCTCGCCCGATTCCGCCCAGAACAGGGTGGCCTGCTGTACACGTGCCCACGCCCCCTCCTCACCCCCCAAAGACGAAGTCTCCCGAGACCACCTCGAGCCGACAGTCACCTTTTGTGAGAGCCCGGAGTAGCACTGGCCAGACATGATCAGGCCCGCCTCCGCCACAGACCAGACAAAGTAGTACTTGAGGCGGGCGGTGAAGCCAGTGAGCAAGATGAGAGCGACCCTGCGGACAGCGATACCGTCAAACATGAGCAGGAACAGCTTTGGAGAGAGCCGCGGGGAGGGGCCACGCCCTATTCAGTAGAAACCCTTTCTCGGAGACAGGCTGTCTGCACCGCCCCCTTCTCCCCTTTGCAATGCTCGCACCTGTGGCGCACGGAGATTGTGTTCCACCACCGCGACTCCAGCAGCGTGGCGTTGAATTCGCGGCCCAGCACGCTCCACAGCGTGGCGCAGGCGGCGCCCCTGAGGAAGCGCAGCGCGCCCGGGAGCAGGGAGGACTGCAGGCGGCCGTGCGCCGCCTCGTCCCAGTCGCCCTGCCGGGGGCATGGTGGGGGTGGGAGGAGGTCAGCGGGGGGGCGGGGTGGCATCCGACGGGCAGCAGCCCGGAGCGGGGGCGGGCGGTGCGGCCAGGCACCCGCGTTCACTCCCCCGGCGGGGCAGAGGCCCCGGCACATGCCCCGGCCCGCGGAGGGAGCGCGGGTGGGGGGGTATCACCAGGCAGTGGGTCGATTCGGCCGCATTCACCGCAGCGCCTCTCCCCCCCATCCCGGGATGGCACGACCCGGCGACCCCACCCGACCACCCACCCTCCGCTCGATGAAGTCAAAGTACTCCTTGGCCTCGAAGAAGGGGCCGGCCAGCAAGTTCCCCGAGGCAAAGCAGTAGCTGTAGTACTCGAGCAGACTGGGCAGGCGATCGAGGCGCATGGCAGCCCGGTACGGGCGATCGTGCTGCGGTGTGGGAGGGTAA